GTTTCACCATGTTGGCCAGGATGGTCTTGATCTCTTGACCTCATGATCCTCCAGCTTCAGCCTCCCAAAGTGCTGAGACTACAGGCTTGAGCCACCGCGCCCGGCCAACAATATACATATCTTAATTAAAAATCACTTGATTGCTAAAAATGCTAACAACCATCTGAGCCTTCAGTGAGTTAAAATCTTTTTGATAGTGGAGGGTCTTGCCTTGATGCTGATGCCTGCTGACTGATCAGGGTGATGACTGCTGAAGACTGGGGTGGTTGTGGCAATATCTTAAGACAGTAACAAAGTTTGCCACATGGATTGACTTTTCATTTCATGAAAGATTTCTCTGTAGCATGTGAAGCTTTCTCATAGCTTTTACCCATGGTAAAAATTCTTTCAAAACTGATTCAACAGTCTCAAACTCTGCCATTGCTTTATCAATTTTTAGGGTATTCTAAATCCTTTGCTGTCTTTTCACCAATGTTTACAGCATTTCCTCAGGTATAGACTCCAACTCAAGAAACCAATTTCTTTGCTTATCCATAAGAAGCAACTCACTGGATGCAGTGGCTCATGCCTGTAATTCCAGCCCTTTGGGAGGCCAAGGGAGGACTGCCGGGCAACATAGGGAGACACTATCTCTATAAAAAATAAAAACAGCCAGGAGTGCTGGCATGCACCTGTAGTCCTAGCTACTAAGAGGAGGCTGAGGCAGGAGGGTTGCTTGAGCCCAGGAGATTGAGAGGCTGCAGTGAGCTGACTGTGCTATTGTACACCAGCATGAGTGACAGAGCAAGACCGTCATCTCAAAAAACAAGGTGGAGGAAGCAACTCTTTATCCATTCAAGTTCTATTATGAGTTGTAGCAAATCAGTCACATCTTCAGGCGCCACTCTAATTCTAGTTATCTTGCTATTTCCACCACTTCTGTAGTTATTTCCTCCACTGAAGTCTTGAACCCCTCAAAGACATCCACAATGGTTAGAATCAACTTCTTACAAGCTACTGTTCATGTTGATATGTTGACCCTTTCTCATGAATCATGTTCTTAATGGTACACAGAAAGGTGAATCCTTTCCAGAAGGTTTTCGATTTACTTTGCCCAGATCCATTAGAGAAACTGCTGTTGGCAGGCAGCTATAGCCTTATGAAATGTAGTTCTTAAAAAATAAGATGAAAAAGTCAAAATTACTCCTTGATCCATAGGCTGCAGAATGGATGCTGTGATAGCAGGAATCAGAACATTAACTTCCTTCTACATCTTCATCAGAGCTCTTGGGTGACTAAGGTGCACATAAATGAGCAGTAGTATTTTGAAATATATATTTTTTTAGCAGGTCTCAACTGTGTGCTTATTCAGTAAACCATGCTATAAACAGATGTGCTGTCATCTAGGCTTTGTTTTTCTTTTCTCTGCACAGAGGCAGAGTAGGTATAGTGTAATACTTAAGGGTTTTCAAATTTTTACAATAGAAATAAGCATTGCCTTCAACTTAAAGTCACTAGTTACATTAGCCCCCAACAGGAAAGTCAGCCTGTCTTTTGTAGCCACATATTGGCTTCTATCTCGCTATCAAAGTGATACGTAGTATTTTCTTCCAATATAAGGCTTTTGTGTACCTTGAAAATATACTGTCTAGTATAGCTCCTGGCCTCAAGTGATCCTCCTGCCTCGGACTCCCAAAGTGCTGGGAATACAGGAGTGAGCCACTGGTCCAGCTGAAAACTTGTTTCATGTAGCCACCTTCATCAATTATTTAGCTAGAGCTTCTGGATAACTTGCTGCAGCTCCTATCTCAGCATTTGCTGCTTTATCTTGCATGTTTATATTATAAAAGCTGGTTATTTCCTTAAATCTCATGAACCAACCTCTGCTAGCTTCCACCTTTTCCTCTGCAGCTTCCTCACCTCTCTGTCATAAAGAACTGAAGAGAGTTAGGAACTTGCTCTGGATTAGGCTTTGGCTTAAGGGAATTTTGTGGCTGGTTTGATCGTCTACCCAGACCACTAAAACTTTCTCCCTATCAGCAATAAGGCCGTTCACTTTCTTTAACTCATGTGTTCCCTGGAGTAGCACTTTTAATTTCCTTCAAGAACTTTTCCTTTGCATTCACAACTTGGCTGTTTGGTATAAGAGGTCTAGCTTTTGGCCTATCTTGGTTTCTGACATGGCTTCCTCACTAAGCTTTACCATTTCTAGATTTTGATTTAAAGTTAGAGAGGTACAACCCTTCCTTTCACTTGAACACTTAGAAGCCATTGTAGGATTATTTTAATCGGTCTAATTTTACCATTGTGTCTCAGGGAATAGGTAAGTCGGCAGAACAGGCAGAACACAGAATACTTATTAAATTCACCATCTTATATGGATACAATTCTTGGTGCTCCAGAATATTTATTAAGTTCACCGTCTTATATGGATATAGTTTGTGATCCCCAGAACAATTACAATAGTAATATAAAAGATCACTGATCACAGGTCACCATTAAGAATATAATAAAAAAAAACTCTGAAATATTGCAAGAACTAGAATTGCCTGAATGTTATATACAGACACAAAGTTGGGTACACACTGTTGAAAAAAAATTGTGCAGACAGACTTGACTCAGGTTTGCTACAAACCTTTAATTTGTAAAAGCAGTATCT